TTTATTGACAATCTATTTTAAAAATTATTATAATACATTCTACCTCAAAAATGATTATACAAAATAAAATGAAAAGTTACATTGTCTTATTGAATAATATTACCTACATATAAAACAAGAGTAGAAACAAAAACTGAACTGACTAGCTCCTCAAACGTACCCTGTGCCGTGCCTAATAAAAAAATCGATGCAGTAGTTTTAGAGATTAGATACTATAGATTTTCGACAGTGTGATAATCTATTCAACACTGTCCGATACAAAGGAATTTTTAGCACTTCTGACAAATGGTGTTAACTTCTTTTCGAAGTTTTTTAAAAGAGCATCGAACACATCGGTTTCTTTTAAATTTCACTCTTTTGTTCTCTACTCTATTCTCTACAGAATCAGAGTCATCAACTTTCTCAAGTGGCATTCCGTTGCTTCCAGATTGCTCCATTATTCCGACCTACGGTTTTATACAATAGCTTAGTTTTCAGGACTTGTTGATAAGTATAATTTAATAAGAAAATGAAAACGGGATAACTAAAAAAATCCAACAAATTAGACAAGCGTATCATGCATAAAAAACAAGCACATTACTTATGCATACGATGCACATTCATCTGGCGGATAGTGGTCGTACACCGCATGACCACACTCACACCAGAAATGTTTGGCCTTCAGCAGGAGGCGAATGTCGTTATGGCTCATGGCCATGCGGATATGCATGAACTCATGTTCGCATGGCATGCACCACAACTTTGCGCTCGTAGGAAGTGCGTCTCTTCCCACGGCCATTCGCACTCCCCGTGTAACAATAACAAAAAGTCACTCCTGTTCAAAAACTTATCAACGTCTAGTACCACCACCATAGTAACCTAAAATAAAAGCAAATAGAAAAACATGCATATAATTAAAAAAATATATAATCCTAGGAGGAGAAAAAAATATTAAAGTTATTGTTAGCGAATAGCGAAACTAAGGTATAGTTTCGCATAAGCGAGGGAAAAGTTCTTTATAAATCTATATATATGTATGTATGTATATTTATGCCATCATGTGCAATAAAGTGTGAAAAATATTAAAGTTATCAATTTCAACTCTCAATAATAACATCAAGCAAAGTCGTTTTATAATATAAACATTTTAGTCATAACGACTAGTTAAAACTCAACGTATTCGAAATATAAACATCATACTGTAAACAATTTTGAGGACTCCGATTGCTTTTGCGACATCTGGCACGTGTAAGAACAATGCTCAAAAATGAGCATGTTTGCGTGGGGTTGTTTTGAGATTAGAAAGTTCTAAATATTTTTTAATATTCTTAACGAACAAATATATATCTCTTAAAAGCTTATAAAATTTCTTCTTTAATGATATTTTAACGCGATCAATGCAAAGATAAGTCGATATGAAAATCAAAATTGTTAACCGAAAAGTTATTGCGGGACATTTACTAACCTATATTTCGTTAGTTAACATTTATTGTTTTTATTTTTATTTTTTTATAAGTTCTACATAATATGAACAATAAGTAAAGTAAAAGAAATAGGTAGAAATACTTACAGATATTTTGGGATTGACTCCTTTTCTGATGTAACAAATTGGGATGTGTCCACTCTCGCACGCGCGAACAAAATAAATGAGTTTAAACATCGTATTCCTATTGTATAAACAATCGACAATGTGCCCTTGAGACACATTCATTTAGTACACTTTGGATACAAAAGAAAGTAGACCCAAAAAAACAGGAATTAAAAGACAATATCCTTTTCAAAAATTATGTTCCGTATGGACGTAAATACATGTCCAAGGCATGTAAGGGTAAACATTTTTCGAGCGCAGATCTTGACTGTCTTAAGCAGACGAGAGGTTAATTCGTCTATTTTTGCAGTAACGCTGGCCTTAGTTGGTTTTAAAACCGGGTTAATTTTACTTTTCAATGCTTTAGGGTTCCATGTGGCCCATCTGTTATAAGAATCTGTAAAAAGTAATAAAAGCTTTCATATATGTATTATGTAGTACTTATATTTTGTGAACCCATGTTTGTAGGTATATGATTTACTACATAACATGTAAGAGGATTTAAATTTCCCGCAAATTCTAAAGATTTGACATCATGTGTGACGTGGTGTAACGTCATGCATAATTTTAAGATGGCGGGTTTTTATCGTGAATGGAGTGGTGAAGTGAAATTCTTTACAATTTATAAATAAGTAATTTACCATTGTTCTTATAAGATTGCCGAAATAACTTAATTTGTTGTTTCTTTCAGGTAATTCTTTTTATATTAAAATGGTTGTAGTAGTTTGTGTAAGTTTAGATTGTTAAATAACAAGAACATTAAATCTTTCAGATTAAAAACTTTTAAAAAAAAAAAAAAGAACCCCCTAAAAAAAAAACAAATTTTTTTTTTGGATAAAATGGATAAATTAAATTTTGAATTTCAACTAATGGGAGATGGTAAAAGCAATGTTATACTAGAACTAGACTCTATTAATGTTGTTGCATTAATAGAGTCTAGTTCCACATGTATTGGTTTTGATAATAGAATTCCTGCATCTTTTAATGCATCAAGTGCTTTCGTTGCAGATTTTCTTGACAAACTTTGTAAATAATCGTCATCGACTTCTAAAATACTTCATGTTCACCTATAACAGATTGCTCTCTTTTTTATTTCCCCATATGTTTAAATCAAAGTTATTTAATGTTATTTCTCTTTCAATTCCTCTCAGAAATTGAATAAAAATCAACCATGCATGGTCATTAAGAGTATAAGATAAACCTGAGGCCTCTAAAACTCCTTTAACTAACATCAAAGAAATCAAGTCTGAATACACTGTGTTGCCCGAGTAAGTTGAGCCTCTTGACAATATTTCCCCGTACATCAAACCACACTTATTTGCTACTTTTAACTTGATGTTGTCAGAATATGGTATAAATGAACACAAATCTCCAATTTCAGCAAAATTCTTGATTTGGTTTTGTTGAAATTATCCTTCTCTATTTGTTCATGTTTCATTTCCATGTTATAATTTCTTCTATGAATATCATCTCTTTGAGCATCATACCTTGTTTTCATTTATTGAAACATCTAATTCTGAATCACTTACAAATGATGGCTTCCTCGATGTTAATTTGGACACAACTATTAAACCTCGTAAGACTCTGTAGTTAACTCAGAATGGTCAATCTTTTGCAAAGTTTTCCATTGATTTCCTTTTGAGTTCCAGTTAAAGGATAATTAATAGTACTATTGGTTTTATCATGTAACTGCTGTTCCATATCATTATCAGAAACAAAACTCTTATTAACTCCCTTCCTTACAACTCCTATTGTTGCATTCTTTGCTTCTTTCAAAATCTTCCCAATCCATTTAGAAAAATTAGCGCTGGGCTCAATAGCATTATAAATGTTCGGGTATCTCAGAAGCCCGTTGAGATGCCAGATATTCAGCGTTCTAGAAGTTGACGTCGAGTTAACTGTTGGGTTTGAGCCCGTTGAGATGCTAGATATTCAGCATGCTGTCGACGTCTATCTTGGGACTGCTCTGGTGTCTCAGCAGCTCTTTGGGCTGCCTCACGCTCTGCTTGTTTAAACCTTCGCAGTTCGGCTTGTGGAAACGTCTCGTTAAGTCTAGCTACTTTCATAGTTCGAGCTTTATTAGAGCTTTGGGAAAGATTAGACTTACGCTTTCGCGGCATAATTCTTAAGTACGTGTTGTTTCTATACTTCCAAAAAATACAGTACGGTAGTTATTGTTATGATTGTACTTTAATGCAATCCTTGTCTATTCCCACTTAATTAACCTATTTATATAATTTTTATAATTAACTTAAGTAACCTATCTATATAGTAATTGAATTATCAATGAAGTAATTCGTAAAAATGAAGTATCTTTTTGTACGTGTAACTCCTAACCAAAAAGAAACCTGGCAATAACAACCTTAGGCCTATATAACTTAAAGTAGGCGACCATACGTTTTTATCAAATCGCTAGTGCCTTGAAAATTCGCAAAACGGACACAACCGTCAACGACTTCTGCCCTCATGCGTCTGCCCGCGTTCGCGTCGCGCACTTAGCGATGAGCCACTTCTTCCCCACCGCACCTACCCCGCTCCCCCCACGCACCGCAGCCGGTATCTATCGCCGAAATTGCTATGACTCTGCATTTTAAATCTGTGATATCTTCGAAAATATTTATTTAATTTACATGCTGTAAAAAGCCATATTGATCTTTATTAAATGCACAATGTATTTAAGATACTTAATTGGATAAGGATTAATACTGTATTGCTTAAAATCGCTTCGTAAATAAGCCATTATTTCTCGTACAAAGTAAAGGATAAAAAATGGTTATTGTGGGTTATTCCTAAGAGATAAACATATACCATCACGGACTTTTTTGGAGACCTTTTTAAGTTGTACAATACTGTAGTACATTGTTTTGATCTATCTTGTAGGATTCAGTCAGCGTTTGCAATGTAAGCGCAAAAAATGTGTTTTTTTACGACCTCACATTAAAAACTTCAAAAATTGTAGCCTATATGTTATTCTGATGTATAAGCTATATTGTGGTAAAGTTTCATTCAAATCCATTCAGTAGTTTTTACCTGAAAGAGTAACAAACATCCATACATCCATACTTACAAACTTTCGCCTGTATAATAGTAGTAGGATAGTGTTATTTGTGAATATTACTGAATTGTTGCTATAATGGACTGTGTTGTTAATGTTATAAATTATCTGTGATTTAGTAAGATAATCAATCAGAAAGATGGAGGTTAATATTATTAGTGGAAATTTCATCTTGCTGCTGATAGAAATACAAAGTGGCTTTGGTAATGAAAGGATAAAAATCTGAAAGCAACCAGATTCTAATGAGGAGTATGAGTATTAAATAAGAAAAGAAGTTTGAAACAAAATTGATGAATGCCTGAAGAATTATTTTATTAAAAATAAACCAAGAAATTCTAATTAAGAAAATTAGAATCAAGAAAATTAGTGAATTAGCCTTTAGAAGGACTTTAAATGCTGTAATAGAATTCCTGATGAATCTATGACCAAAATTGAGGTGGGCTTTTTGTAGAATCTCCTCTTTAGAGGGGTCCTCTGTCAAACACAAAATGCACTCTTTTTGCATGAATAAAGTATATTTATTTATTTCAATTTTTGAGCCGTCTTTGTGTCAGAATAATAATAATATTATCCGCTTACCATCAGGCGGGCCGTATGCTTTATTGCCACCATAGTGGTATAAAAAGAAAAAAAAGATCTGTATAGTTGAAGCCCTTCGAAAACTTGAGACTCGGTCAGCTGTTTGGTCATTTTGTATGGGAAGTCAAAAAAAAAATGTCTTTATTGGAAAAGTCTTACATTGTTCAGGGTGATGTATAGAACATGAGGCCGAAGGGATGAAAAGGTTTAACAATACAATCTGTATAATATTATAAAACCTACCTTCACCATTCTCAGTGCCAATAATTGTTGGGTCTCCTCCACGTCATCGAAATCAGGAGCATTAGATGGCCCGCCACCTGTGCGATAAAGTTCCTGCCTGTGACAGGACATCTGCTTCTTCGTGGCCTTTTTGATAGCTTCATATTTTAATTTTAATGTTTTAGAGCTACGTGTCGCGGTACCACTAGTCGTTGCATTAAAAGAAGAAGCTATTTTGCCCCAGGCAGCCTCCTTATCTTTATTGGTCACGGCGTCCGTTTTTTTGTTTTCGATTATGTACTTATATTTGGTAACCAATTCCGTCAATAATCGCGTTTCGGCTTTACGGAAATTGCTTGCACGCACACGCTTTTTATCCATTTTTATTTATAATAGAACCAAATTAATTAAATGAAACCAAACAACAAAATTGAGGTTAGTTTTTAATGTCAATGTCAATCATAACTCGTTTCAGTCTAACATCACGTTGACTGCATACGCGCATCTCGCTCGTACATAATTAGTGTGAAATTAGCGACAGATATTCATAGACAACAGATAGATAGCTATTCTTTGGTTAATAAACGATTGTAAAATTAACTTATCAAAGGATTGAAAAATCGGCCCTAAGAAAAATAGTTATAGTTTTACTTACCTCTGTATTTATATTATTCGTGCTTGTATACACTGGCCCCAAAAATGATTCCATTAGATCATAAGCAAGCCATATGGGTTTGTAGATATCGTCTGCTCCTAAAATTGATAGAAGACAAGGTAGTGTTAAAAGTACGAAAAGGATTCCATGTAATAATAAAAAAACAGTCAAACAAAGCTAACCTGCACCAGAACGAATCGAGTCTTGTTTCGTTTTGAAGTGTCTCCTGAATGTAGCCATTAATATTTCTTTTTTAATTTTCAATTCTTTCACATTTTTATTCAATATTACACCGATGCGGGTCCACGCATCGTTGACCTTCTGCCTATTTTTGTGGTTAATATCTTTTGAAGTCCAAATGCATGGCTCATTTTGATATGCTTCTAAGAAACAAAGAGTTATATCTTCTGACCAACCGGACATGTTAACGCGCCAAAAACAGTTCTGCTGATTGTGTTTAGGTAAATTTTGTTTTCAAAACAAAGCATTTCCATGAATACAAAACAACTCAAATATGGTTTAGCTTAAAAAAAATTAAGGGCTAAATCTCTATCAATCTTTGTTACAACTAAATTTGACAAACTAATCTAAACTTTTCTATCAAAAAAAAAAAACTAATAATTCGACTATAGCATACCTATTTCAAAATCTTATTATAACAGTCTCATAATCATTTTAAACATAAAAGTTTTCTTTCGTTTTAATATTCCTATTTTAACATTAATCAGACTCATCGTTTTCCGAATCACAGTTATTACAAACGAAGTAAATGCAATCCCTTTCTATGTTCTAAGATATCCGCATATTCTATAGGCATGTTGTGTTTAATAAGTTTGCTCTTAACAATTTAAATACAAACAGCTATTGGTCAGTGTGTAAAGAATGATGTGATGTCAAAGCTTACCATAACTTCATTGTCTGCTACCTTTAATAGTTTCTACAAACTGATACAAATCCCTGAAATGAGAATTTGTTGTTTCCCTGAGGGGGGCAAGTGTTCTAGATAAGTGTTTTGCTAGTTTATAAGTGGGCGAATCTATTTGACTGACTATTGGACGTAAGGGATTGTTTAATTTATGAGTTTTTGGCAACCCGTGCATTTTGGGTGGCTTCGGGCAGGCTGAGATGTGATGTTTAGCGTCGAGAGTCAAAATCGTTTTAAACTTGTTTATAAGTTCCGACGTCTTTTTCATTACTTTGGTTTTGGGGTCCTTTGCAATCTTGTTGTAAACCGCGTCGTCACCAAGTGTTCCCGTCATCTTTTGGTTATAGTCTGACGTATCCATCATGGCCGCGGCGTTTCCTTTGTCAGCACGCAGTACTGTAAGTATCTTCGTTCGCTCTTAGCCGTTTAAGAGCAGTCGACTCCGCTAGGGAAAGATTGTGTAGGGGGCTTGCTGGAACGTAGGATCCAGGATATATCTTGCTATATTGCTTCCGCATCTTCCTTAGGGATGACAGTTTTGAAAATGCTTTTCTCGACGCAGCTGATTGTTCCTTCGCAAGGTATTTTTCGCGGCGCCGCGCCGGAGCAAAATGCGTTTTTTTAGGACTTGAACGGTGTTTTCATCTAAATTGACTTTTGGCAGATTGACAACTAAGTTTTGACATTATCATAAAGTTGTTTGTTCGAGTTTGTTTTGTCTGTTTGTTTTGTAAATTTTATAATCTGTTTATGTTTGTAAATTGTATATTTATTAAATAATTATGTTAGTCGCCACCGGTGGTTCCAAAAAACTCATATACTTAATAATTTCGTTTAATAAAAAATATTACATTTAATTAATCCTACTTGTCTCCCTGTGCACGGTTCATCAGTTCGAAGCTTACAATTATATTTCTACATTTAATTAATATTAGGTGTTTTCCCTGTGCACGATGCACAGATCGCACTGGTATCGAATACGCGCACTATCAACACTTTCCCCGTAGTGGCACAGCTTAGGCTGTCGCCTAATAAAGAAGGCCGACACATAACAAAATGCTCTGTTTGATATTATGGTTTTGCAATGTTGTCAATCTTCATAATTAAAAATACGTCCTAGGGTGTTATCTTCGTCTTGGATTTCAACATTTAACCGTTTTATTTTAGCTCTGTGATCGGCGATGAGCCTTAGTAACAATTTTCTACTTGCGGATGGGAGAATAATCTTGGCGCTTCCAGCTATGAATGCTATTATATTTGGTTTGCAAAAAAAATCTCCTGGTTTCACGCATGAGTTCTTCATTTTCTGTGCTCAAAACACGTCAAATTATTATAACGAAATTAATAAATATTACTAAGTTTTACATTGAAAATTCACATTAAAAATTCCTAAATTATAGTCACAAAATGAACAAATATCGGTCAGCGTCTCATAATATGGTGAGAAAATTTGTTATTTTGTAATTTTCTTTTCATTGTTTCGTCATATTCGTCTCGGGTGTAGCTGATTCTTTCTCTTCGGTGCGCACGTCGACGTGTAAAAGTGCGTGATGTCACTTCTTGCATATTCTACAGGGCGGTTTTCTGCACGGCTCCTTTCGATGTTGACCGCTGAGACACTTGAAACATATCCTGGTTCGCTTTACAATGCTCCACCTTTCTCGAACTGACGCTTTTTGGAAGTTGGCGCATTCTAATAATGAGTGTGACTCGTCGCAGTGTGCGCATCGTTTCCTTTCTTCTGGAACGTTCTGTTTCACACTTCTGTTTTCTTCTAATGTAGCCCCGCATTTGTCCCTGGAATTGTCCATTGGGAAGCCCTATTGAGAAACTCTCGTATTAGGCTGAGACCTGAAAATGCGTCGTCCTCCTTCTTCGCCGTGTAATCGTACCACCGGAACTTGAGAATAGTTGGCATCTTTTCTATTATATTCTTTATCATATCTGGTGAATGAAGGTACTATTGTCTCTTCAGTCCTCGTATCGCGGCCACACTGTTGTTAATCTGAATTGCGAATACGCATATGTCAGGTGGGCTCTCTGTTATTCGCGGCAACGCCTTTACTTTCTCTAATTCTGCTAAACCAGTGCATCCGGTCTTGTATCTTCTTGGAGAGCGTCCATAACCTCGGATGGCTTTGCCTCGGAATATAAAACGCTCTTGATGCTTTCTCTTGTGGCTCCCTTAATCGAGTCATGTTTTGTGTAGGTGTGTACATGACCCGGAACGCCTACCATTCACAGCTATCGCCTTCGAACACGGGTAGTTCTTGTATGTACTTCGGTTGCGCCGTGTTCTCCCGTAATGCTTCTCTGAAAGCATGAATTATGTCCGTCACCGTATCGTTCGGCTTCATATGTGGCTCAGGTTTAGGTTCTTCTGCCTCTTGGCGGCCGGAGGAGCGGATCCATTCTTGAATATTCCTATCCCGCTCGTCGTCGCTACTGCCGTAGACAGAATCTTCCTGTTGCAGCCGTATTTTTTGGGGGGGGCGCCGCCGCCTCAGCTTGCGCTAACTCAAGGCGAACCAGTTCTTCCTGGGCCTCTAATGTTCGACCGTTGTCATCTGGTGATCGACGCGTACAGCGGATGGATAACCATCATAGCCAGTGATAGTCTCCGCCTTTAATTTCTGTGGAAATCGTTTAGAGCACTTTCCATCGACCATGCAAGGTGATTGGGGATTGATGGCACCACACGGTCCATGAATCATATTAGTAGTAAGTATGTCAATACTATTTTTTTTCGTGATATCGACAATTCGAATTCTGGATGCTCGTCCATTAGTCAATTATTTGTCTTTGCAAATTATAATCCCTCATTATTTATTGACATATAACAACATATTTAAAATATTACATCTAGTATAATTTGAAAATCCATGTTGGATTTCAAATGATGTAATACGAATGGATTGAAAGTGTTGTGCCAATTTTTTGATGGTGTCCTTTTATAGAATAATTTTGATCTACTGATACCAGCACAAATAATATAGTAGTAATGATCATCAAAAATAATACCATTATGCGAGTAAAATTCATCAAAAATTCGCGTAGTCAATATTTTCGAGATTATTTTTTATAAATTTAAATCGTTCCTTATATTTTTTGAAAAGTGCTTCTGAGTAATCGGGATCAGTGTTCATAGGTATCAAATTAATAGTTTTTTTTGTTGGCATAAATGGTGCACTAAATCGACGTTCTTGTTTTTTATTAGGATCCATTTTTTATAACACGTGAATGTGTGTTTGTGTGTTACTAGTTTTATAATCCCAGACGCCTCTGACGCTGATACAGAAACTAATTCCTCGATTAATTTTATTACTTCGGGATCATTACTTAATAAATCTTCAGGAACATTGTCTAACCAAAGAAGAATATGAGTATGTGGGCCAGGACCACGATGTTGTAATTCTATTCTTTTGAAATAAAGTATTAATCTATATATTCCGAATGGACTTCTTTTCTTTAACAGACAATTTATCATTTTATTAAAATAAATAGCACAAGTTACGGCATCTTCATTGACAAGTTGAGCTTTATGCAATTACTGCTAAAAACTCACATGAAAACCGATCATGTTCTGTAAATTTTATAGATGAACTGGGATTACCTGTATTATATATAAATTTCCCTCCACTAATGTTTTGATAAAATCTTCAGTGATAAAATGGTTAAAACATTGATATGGAGTTTCTAGGTGTGATAGACTACCTGAAGCAAGAAAACTTCCCAAGAAAGTAATTTTATCTGTGTCATACACCAGATTTTTTTCCAAATCAAGCTTCTTTTGTCAAATGTAAAACTGGATGAAAACTGCAAATTGGATGAGTTGATGGGTGACAAAATCTTATGGGTTCTAGATCTTATGGTTCCACAAGAGGAAAATCAATGTCAGCAGTTTCATCCACATCATCATCATCATCATCTTCGTTCTCCTCGTGCAAAACTCTTATAACTTCATCAGCATCGCGGTTTTCATTATCGAAATCCTGGTCAAGAATTTAATTATTACTGTTTAAATCCTGAATAGTTCTATGCAATTCTTCAAGAGCATATTTGTGCGCCATTGTGCGCTCATCCCAAATTATTATAGAACTCTTCCGCAACACTGCAGCTATTCCACTATTCTTTTTGATGTTACATATTGCATCTGGTTTATGATGAATATCCAACGCAGCTTAAATGTTGAATGTGCCGTTCGCCCATCATCCAGTAAAGTAGCCGCAATACCTGGCGGTGCAACTGCGAATGCGACTTTCTGTTGCGACCGTATTTTGGCAAGAATTAATGGTATTAAAAAATTTTTACCGGTTCCTGGTGCGTCCAAGAAATAAAACTGCCGTGTTCAGCAGCAACAGCCAGCATAATCCGATCATAAATATTTTTTTGTTCTGCTGTCAGTAATGGCTCTCTGTTCGATAATCGTGGCTAAATTTCCATGGTCCGTAGCTGGGCGATTAAGTGATGGCATACCATAGTGATGAAGTGGTAAATTTGAAATTCAAACAAATAAATCCTCGATCAACACCAATGCTTCATTATACATCTCTGGCGTAAAATCTTTGTTTTGGCATTGATCTGCTTGTCTAATTCGGTGCAATATGTCTTCTGTCATGCAATTTTTATATTTTTTCCACAAAATTTGTGCTTGCGATGGATAGCACGTCGTCAAAATAATCGCAAACAGCCGACGAATGTTATTGGGCAACGTAGCATCAGCAAGCGCTAAGTCCCAATGGTTATCGTCTTCTAGTCTTTCTGACAGCAGAGGCGATCGTCAGCGCTGACCGCCGTGCGCGCCGATAGCTACGCGTTATTTAAAAACGCTTCCTAGAAATCCATATATATCGGACCGGTCGCTTACCGGTCAGCGTAAGACTAAAATTAGCCTTAGGCCTTGCTATAAAATGATATTATAAAAACTAAACAAATTTTAACGTTTGTCCGTACAACAATACGCCTTTATTTTCCGAATATTTACATAGTTAGTAAAATTATAAAGTGTCTCTTGGTTCGGTGTGTCTTTTGATACAGTCCAACTTACAATAGAATCCTAAGGCCAGGCGTAAGTCCTCTTCCCATCTTTTATTTATTATAACTTATTTATAACCCAAACTACACATACAAAAAGAGAAAACATCGTACTGTTACGCGGATAGTTGCGTTTATGTTTAAAAAAAAAAACATTTATTAATTACACTTTTGAAATAATTAATTTATTGATATAGAAATTAGATTAGATTATGATATTGACACGATTTCGGAGCGGAGATTGGAATGGGACTGACTGGCGGGGAAGCGACGGTGTCGAGGCTTGGCAAAAGTGCTGACTTTGACGTGTGACGGATAAAGGATATGCTGGGATGCGTCAGCGACTTAGGGTACATGCAGGGGTTGTAACAGTACGTACTAATTTATAAATAAAAGGCGGCCTTATAGCTAAGCAGCGATCTCTTCCAGGCAACCTGAAGTACAAGAGAAAATAAAAAGACTTATTGAGTGGTGTAAGGAATAACAAGCAAAAGAAAGGGTACATCGCAAAAGAATACATAGCACTAAGATAGTGGGGGAGAGAATAACTTAAGAGTGGGAAAGGTAAAACTTATAAACTCTTAAAAGAACGAAGAGATTGAGCTTTTCTGATATCAGTGGGAAGAGAGTTCCAAAGGCGAATCGCTTTAACGGTAGCGGAATTATTAAAGAAAGATGTTTTATGCTTAGGAACAAATAAGAGAAGATTGTCAATAGAACGAAGGTTTAAGTTGTGGGAACTCAAAAGGACGAATATCTCTTTTAGATAAGAGGGAGTTTTGGGGTCGAAAAGGACACGGAAGATGGGAATTCCGACGAGTTCGGATAGAGAGCCAGTTTAGCTTTCTACAAAATTCAGAAACATGATCGTATTTGCGAAGGCCAAAAATCTCTTCTTCTCGGTCCTTTTTGTCTGTTACCGTCTCTAGGATACGAGAAGATTATCAGTCTGCGCCATTTTCTGTCATAAAGCGTAGCGTTGTTACTACATTAAATTGATATTTTTTAAGGAAAGCAAAGATAATCTTTTGGTCATTGGAAAATTAAAAAAAAAAATTATTATATTTGATTCAACGATGGGTGGATCGTATGCAGGCTCATCTTCTTGTAGTAAGTCACTGTTATAGCTAGCCAATATGTTATTATAATATTGAAGTTCACTTAAATTTTCCCATTGAGGTCCATAATGTTTCTCCAACAACCCCTACACCATTCTTTTTCTCTGCTTTTGAGAGTCTCCGAAGGTGATTAAGTCTAGTTATTAATATAAAAGGCTATAAGTTCTTTTCATTTCTGTATATTAGCTTTATATATATCGCACATTGAGAAGAAGACCGACATTATCCTAAAAAGCAGTTTTTTCAGTAGAAGCATTTTAAAGTTTTACCAAACAGTTTTTACTATTTTTACACCAAAAAGAGGTGAAAAGACAATTATGATGGTTTTTTATTGTAGAAGATAGCAAGCATTACAGGGATGTATACTTATTTTCATGAAAAACTTTTTTTAAATTACTGTTATTTATAAAAACCTTTTTTAGTGACACTATTGCAAAAATAAAATATTTAATCATTTCTTAATTAATGATAACTTACTGACATAATTACAACAAAAAAATTGTATTAGTGAAAGAAAATAAATAGTTTTATAGGAAATTACTTTTATTATAATCTTGTTTTTTTATTTTGTGTAACATTGAACTTATTTGCTATTGTAACAACTACAAAATACAAAGTTTTGCTATTAGTTACAGACTATAATAAAAAATTTAAAAGACTTCAAAAACATAAGTAATAAAAAATATAACATAAAACTGAACTTAAATGACTTGTTTGCATAACAGCCATAAAAACAAATATTTTTTAACAAAACAGGAACACAGGTTTACTAAAATATTATCACAATCATGTTTCATTGCTATAACTTATTACTATTATTGTACTTAATAATAAACTGAGATCAACAAACAGATTCTTAAAGGATACTATTAAAATAAGCAGATACATAATAACTAGGAATAAGATTTTGGTCAATCAACGATTTAATGTCGTTTTTCTTGCGTTCAGCCAAAGGAAGCTTACGTAAATGGGTTTTAGTAGGTTGTTAGCATTAGACCTGTCTATTATCAGCAGACTGTTGCCGACGAGTAGCTACCCTATTTACGTCTAACTTTATCTCCTTAAAATTCTGTTCCAAATAAGAGTTTTTATAAAATACTTTAACTTTGTCAGCCTCATTTAAATCTTTAATCAATCTTATAATTTTAATGTCACCTAGTTGAATTTTTTCTCCTTGCGTATTTTTTGAAAAGTTGCTGCCCGAAAGGTTTTTGATTTCGAAAAAATCTCCATGGCTCATCAAATTAAGTATGTACATAATTAGAGATTTCCTTTCTTATGGGCGTTCTTTATTGCTGCAATGTATTTGTCGGGGACATAAATAGGACCAGATCTTAACATTTTCTTCACTTCTTTCTCAATCATTGAAGGTACCGCTTCACCCTCATTTTGGGTGTGACCCTTGATGAGAAATGTGTGTGTTATAGACTTAATCGGCAAATACTTTACTGCATACAAGTATAGGGATAGCATAAATTGATTTTTTTGTTGCCCACAGAATAAAATATAAAATCGAAATCGGGATGTAATGACGACATTTTTTCTAAATATTTGAAAACACACGTCGCAATTTCATTAACCCCTCTTTGACCTTCTACTTCTGTCCAAAAATAGCATTCATTATGATCTTTGTTTAGCTCCGAAATTGTAAAAATTAAGCAGTTTAACTTACTTTTATAATAAAATACTGATATTTCTCCTTTAGGCACGGTCATCACTGCCTGCAAGTCATAACAAGACACAATGCAGTTACTGTTTTTTTTTGAAAAATCACGTGGGGATGCACAACTGGCAATTGGCGATCTAGAAATTCTTGTTCCTGTATGATATTGTTTGTTGGGAGATAAGTTTTCATCCGGATAAAGCTGGCCATCCTAAAATTAAAAGTAAGATTTGAAGTAACGTACAAGGTAAAGATTGAATGAAGTGACTAAGCCATCAAGATATCAACTGTCTCGCAATCTTTAGGTATTTCTTGTAATAAGTTATCAAATTGAATCGTTGGTTTATAAAGCTAACATCGTCATTTTCTAATGTCTGACTGCCATAACAAATTATTTTTTGAGCAACTTCCCTATCATTTGGTGCCTCATCAAACTGCAGTCTTCTAGATATATTTTTCAGTTTATTTATTTGAGCATTTGGTAAAGGCATTTTAGTTCTGAAAGTAAAAATAATTTCAACGTTAAATTAATGTTAATATAGCAAGTTCATACATTAGGTCATGAACCTCTATTATAAGAGAAGTCTATGTCCAGTAGTAGACCACAAAGTGCCAATTGAATTAATTTTGTTGACAAGATGCCTGGCAGTCTAAAATGATCTAACCCATATTTCTGCCCCACAACTTCGTATTTTACATTACAACAGTCCACAGCAACTCTCATCATTTTTTATTCAATATAACCACATACACCTATTTACCACCAACACCTGCCCGAACACCTTACACGTACCCTAGGCCTACTCTACACTATTGAGTTTATAGGCTTTATTCAATGTTAGCGAAAAAGACCCACGTAATTTCCTTTTTAGTAATTATCAGAGTGACATTAAACCAGAAATGACATTGTTTCATCACGATTGAATAAAAGATTGCATTTGGCTAAAAAGAATAGCGACTCTTTAAAAAATATGACATTCTGAATCAATCAACTTTGCAAACACTTCATTAACTGTAACACGAAGAGTGACACTAAATGAAAAGTGTCGATGTGTTATTTAAACTGGGCACTATTTCTAACACAATTTATACTTAAATACGACGCTTAACAAAATATTATGACGGTATGCATTTTAAAATAATTATGTACTTACGAAGTACACAGAGTTTTCGTGAGCTCCACAGTCACTAATGACAAAATGGCAGTCTGCCGTAACAGATCGTGTCAAGTTGTCGATAAAGTAGTTTGACACTATGCCATCTAGCGAAATCTGTAAGAACTACGTCAACAGGTGTTTTTGCAAAAATGTAGAATTCCCCGCGCGAAAATAGATGACGCTAATAACTAAAAATTTAAAATTTTCGTATAGTGTCGGTCTTCTCACTGTGCGATTACTTATTATGTTGTATGTATATATATATACATATAACTATTTTACTATGTTTTTTCAGGTTTGTGATGCACATATGCAAATATTGAGTGTTGACGCAAGTCATGGCGGTGCTACCCATGACTCGTTTATCTGGGCTAATCACCCACTGAGAATGCATCTAGAAGAATTAAGTAATGCAGAGAGTATTTGGTTTTTAGGTATTTATATGTTTTGTTTTGAGTGAAAGTAATTTTACAATTACATCTTTCAATTACAATTGTAATGTAATTGAGATGAATTATTTAATTGTCTAACAAGTAACAATATTATTATTTCAGGTGACTCTGGCTTTCCATTGAGAAGGACAATGATGACTCCAATACTGGACAGAGCCTTCACGCGGCGACAATAAAGAATTCCACCAAGGATGGGCTACTAGGACTGCCCTTATTTGCCAGCTCTGGCGTAAAATCACATTTGTCATCTCTAACCTGAAATTGAAATACCTTTCAATGTTTTGCAACGTGCTGAGTATTTTTTCTAAGCTCTCTGCAATTTTGCATAATGCTTGTGAGCTAGCCACTGCAGCTTAGGCTCTCATTTGTGAGAAATTCACGAGGTCACGCCTCGCTGTTTCCCGTGACATCGGTGGATCGGGCCTGCATCGCCGGCGCGTGGGACCCGGTACGCCAGCCTCCGATGATACTGCTGCTGGAGTACATGGTGTGGGTGGATAAGGAGAAGGAAAAGGAGGTCGGAGAGGAGCTTCATCTGGTTCTGGGGTGGGTGGAATACATTGGGAGCCTGGAGATTCCCACACTTCTACAGCAGCAGTACTTCCTGAAGGCTGTCAACAAATTAGTAGCTAATGTCTTGCAACAACCTTAAGATCAATAATATAAAAAAGGATACTGCTTATTTTCTCTCACCTCTGCAAAAGGTTCCACCCGAACACCTGGCAACCCTTCTCCAAGTATTTGAAGGAATTTTTGTTCTATTTCTGACAAGGGTTGCTCAGTGGAAGGCCCTCCGCCAGTTCTAGCCTGGGAGGATCGGACAGCAGCGGCCCTTTTCTTAAGTTTCGCTTTGAAGTCCACCCAGTACTAACAAGATAAAGTCAGTATAGTATATATTTATAAGTGTATCCATGTACAAACATTAAGTAATTACTTTAGACCAGCCTTTCCAATCCTTGTGAGCTCCTTCACCTTGCGAATTAAGGATCTCACCTATCTCACTTCATTTCTTTTTCGAATATTCCCTAGCAAGTATGGATCGGTTGTAGGCAGTAGCTATATCTTTGTGGGTAATTAAATATTCCCACAAAAGATCTAGCTGCCGCCCCGAAACCCGACGAGCTACAATCCTGCAAAACAATTAAAACACTTGCCTTTAGCCACTTAAAATTCCAAGCGACGAGTTAAACTAAATAAATTATAAAAACACTATTTTGAACTTGTACTTACTTTCCGTCTGCCATTTTAAAATTGAGATTTTTGATTGAGAAATTTGCAATTTACTTTACACATACAAATTTTATATATATTCAAGTGTTCCCGCGCCGAATTTCACTGACACTCGTCTAGTGATGTTCATGTTAAAAAAATATCGATATTATTTTCGATATAATATATCGTAATGTTCTATCGATACTTTGCGATATATCGAACATATATATCGATATTTTTAAAATATCGTAAGTAATTTCCTACTTACTCTATTAAAATAGTTTCTAATATTAAATAGGGAAGGTTGATATTATTAATATGAGTCACAACATCTAGAACAAATCAACTTTATTTATATATCAAATGAAATCAATGGCCATACGACCCAAAAGTGAAAGATTTATAAATCCCAGTATTTCTTCTCTAAGCTTTGCAAAAACAAAATTTTATTGACCCTTTTGGCTTGCAATCTGCTTCTCTGCTGTGTAAGAACCTGTGCGGCTTTTGAGAAAAGCCGTTCAGATGGAACTGAGCTAGCCACCATGGTTAAATATTTAAAAGCCACATTGTATAACGTTGGGAACTGTATTTTATAGTCTGCCCACACTTCTAATGGGTTTTCGTTAAATCTACTCACTGGAGTCCTCAAATAAAGCGATTACTCATCTGAAAGACTTTCATTGGTATTATTTGTTTTCCAATTTCGTTGTACCAGTTTATGGTGATCACTCCAAAGATCCGATGATAGACTAATTTTGTCTGAGTTGTCAGAGTCAGATTCCACAGTAGATTCATCCTGTTGATTCTTTTTAATCATCTCTTTAATTTTAATGACGGCATTTGCACACGCCATGGCATCTTCAAAATGAAGTTTTTTAAATCTTGGATCTAATATTGTAGCGATAGCTAATGCTGATACCTGCTCGATTGCGCCCATTCGTTTATTAATTTCAGTAAGAGTGCGTTTTTGTACATCCTTGATTAAAGATTCTTCAATGACTAAGTTTTTCAGTTTTGATATCATGCAGTGCACTAATGGAATGATTTTGCTACTAGAGCAATATTTATCGCCAGATATTTCCTTAGTCGCTGCTTCTAGTGGTTGTAGTACGTTAAGAAGCGATGTTAATATAGTCAACTCCATACCAGTTAACATCGGCGGTGCTGTCTTATGACGAATCAAAATTTCACTCACAGCATTTCGTAAATCAAGGAAACGAGCAATCATATAGTATGTGCTGTTCCAACGTGTTGGGACATCCTGAATCAATTTTGTGTCAGCTTGAATTGATTTACGCAACTCGTCACTTGCAACACAACTTTGTTTAAAAAATGTAACAACACTTTTTGCTTTTGTTAATATTTCCTGTAGTTCTGGAATAGCCAAAACATGTTGAGCTACTAAATTAAGTGTATGCGCAAAACAAGGGATATGCTTTTTTTTCCCAAATGCAATTTCGACAGCCTTCACCATATTTGCAGCATTATCTGTTACTACTGCTGTGACCTTATCAGTATTAAATCCCCACTCTTCACATGTTTTAGTGAGTGTTTGTGCAATGTATTCGGAAGTATGCCTTTCATCTAAGTGGTAAACACCTAAAGTTACAACATGAAATTCAATTCCGATGCCAAAATGAGCAGTTACACCTAGATAACTTCGCATTTGTAGATCTGACCAAATGTCACTTGTTAGTGTAAGATTTTCTACACAGCATAATTTATTTTTCATTACTGTTGATAATGCATCATACTTTTCATCTATCCAGCGTGTCACAGAGGTTCTGCTAGGAATCTTATAATGAGGCACTGTTACTTTCAGAAGATTCTTGAAACCTTCATTTTCAACTAATGAAAAAGGTTGATTGTCTCTACAGATCATAAACATTATCGCATTGTTAATTCTTTTTGTTTTGTCCCCAGTAGAGGTATACGCATGTATTTCACCAAAACTACTTTCAATTGATCTCTGGCGTTTCAAAGACAACACCCTATCATAATCCATCTTTTGATCAGTTTGAGTATTGTGCGTAAGTATCTCACTACAATCCATTGAAGACGACGTAGAAGTTGAAGGCGACAGTTGATGTTCGTTTAAGTAAGATTCCGATATCGTAATGGTATCTTGTTTCGAAGTAGTGGAGAATGAATCGGACGAACCCGAATTAGAATGTTTTATAACAGCAGCACTGTTGTTACTTTTGAAAACTTCCAAGTAGACCGCCTTATGAACATTTTTGATATGTGCCATCGTATTAGAGGTATTGCCAGCCGTTTTAACAATTTTTTGGCATAGTTTGCATCTGGCAGATTTCTCATCAATTTTTTCGAAATATTTCCAAACAATACTTTTTTTTGTAGGTACCATGTTAAAAGACTTGCCTGAAAAAGAAAAAAAATGCGTAAGTAAAATCCAAAGTCACAAACATTTATGAAATAAAAACAAATTCATCGAAATATTTTTTATCGATACCATCCCTAATTAACAGACTTAGCGACTAAAACAAAATGCACTAAATACACTATAAGTCTCGGTTAAATTCTCATTTCACGCAAAAATAGGTACATTCACATTCCATTATTTATTGTTCCATGCTATTAAATAGTAAAAATGTATACCTAGTA